CCCGGGTCACGGGCGGAGGGGGCAGGGCGGAAAAGGCGTTTTGCCTGTTTTCGGGGGCGCGGGGCCAAGGGGGCCCCGGCGCTGGCGGAACCCATGAGGCGGGGTGGCCCGGCCGACACATCCGGCCCCGGGTGCCCTTGGCAGACTCGGCCCCGAGACCTGGGCGCCGGTCGGCTCGGGCGCCGTGCGCGCTGCGTGCCCCTCCGCCGGCGGCGACCGGTCGCCGCCGGCGGAGGGGCCTGGCCGGCGCGAGCGTGCTTCATGCACCGGGGGCCGCACGAGGCGCCCTTGGCGCGAACAGGAGACGACCTGCATGCCGAGGAGAGCGTGTCGGGTGGGGGGCCCGCGCGCGCCTTGGTGATCGGCTTTGGGCTGACCCGCGCGGAGTGAAGGGGCCCCTGGGCAGATGCGGCGGCGGGGGAGGCGCGAGGCGGCGGCGGCGGCGGCGGCGGCGATAAGGACGGGGGCCGGCTTCTGAGGGCGCCCGCATGCCGGCCAGTCACGCTCGGCCGCGTGCCCCCTATGTGGCGGACGAAGCCGGGTTTGTGGTCTTGGGGTGGCGCACAAACAGCAGGCCCTCCCCGGTGGGTGCCCTGGCCACGGATCGTCCCCAAAGGCCGAGAGACAGAGACGGAGAAAGCAACCGCGAGGCAGCGTAGGACAGAGAGAGAGAGTAAGGGAGGTCTAGAGACTAGCCCCATGGGGCTCAAGAGTGTGTCAACGTGCGCGCGCGCACACCCGGGACGCCGGCCACGCGGGCACCACACGCGTGCGAGCCAATGCCCCGCCATCCGCCCCCATCGGCGCGGCACCCGCCGTCCTCCGAGGTGAAGGAGAGGAAGCACGGCCCGGGAGCCGGGCCAACATCCCGGCGCGACTCGCCGCGCGCCGGCGCCCCCCAAAAGTCCCCACCACCGGGGGGGGGCACCCCCGCGCATGCGGATGCACCCACACACATACGCTCACACACACACACACACACACCCAGACACACAGACACACAAACATTCACGGCCAAGCAGCAAGGGCGGCAGGGGGGAGGATGTGTTTCACGGTCGGGGCCGGCAACAAAAGGCACCACCACCACCACGATGTCCAAGCCGACGAGCGCCCCTGCCACCGTCCCCCGGGACGTGCCTCCTCCCGGGAGGAGGCATGTCCCACCCGGCGGGGGTGGCGCGCAGGCCGGCGAGGACGCGACCGCGCCCCGGGCGCCGGACGCCGCGCCGGCAGCTGGCATGCGCCGGGGTTGCCAGGGGTGGGAAGGCATGGCGCACAAGCCAGCAGAGCGCGCCCCTCGCGGTCGGTGCCAGCCTCGCCCGCCGGCCCGTGCCATCGCTCCCCACTGATGCCCGAGCAGGCGCGCGAGGAACGGGGGGCAGGCCGGCAAAGGCCAGGCCCCTGGCAGGATCCGGTCCGGCTTCCCGCCCTTCCAACAGGGCTATCGCGAGAATGAAGACGCGGTCCCCTTGCCGGGGCCAATGTTTTCTTGGGCCCTCGGCCAGAGATGCAGGATGGATGTGGCGCGGTGCGCCTTTTCGCGCGCTGCTCCTCGATCGCCCTGGCTCATGATGCCCAGAGGCCGCGGGCTCGGCTCCGGCTCGTGGCAGGCCCCGAGGGGAGGCGGCCCACGGCCCCCGCCGCCGGGGGGGGGGGGGACCTTCGCCGCGGGTCTGTCCGGCCGCCGGCGGTCAGGCCCCGCCCCCAGAGGCCAGGGCGATCGCGCAGAAACGCCCCTCCCATGGATGACGCAGAGCGAGCATCCGACCGTGACCGGCTCATATCCTCCCCCCCCCC